TGAATTTGCCGGAAAATGATAGTTAAAAGAAAGGTTTAATTTTGCCTCCAGTCCCCGTTATCTTTTACTGCTTGAAATTCAGTCTTCTTCTACTCTCAATTCTGGAAAATGCGTTCCTAATTTGTCTGATTTAAAAATTAAATTTAAATTAATACGACTATTAATTTACTTTCATTGAATATGAATACGTGTCATCAATTAGATTTTAATTTGCTCTAATGATATTCTTGGACATCGTACTTTTCAGGAAAAAATTGTTTCAACCTTTAAATATTTTTTCGTGTATTTTGACTCTCAAACTTTTAATGTTTTGTCAAATTGAACTAATTAACAAAATAATAATAATATATTTATTAAGTTGGTGTTAGCTTTTTTTTTTAATTTGTAACAATTTTTAGTATTTTTAAATGATTTTCTATATATTTTGCGTGAAAGTACGAAATATATGATTTCAGCATTGGCAAAAAAAATAACATGTGTTAGTTTAATATGTTTATTATTATTATTATTATTGTAAAAGATGTATATATTCATATACGAAACATACAAAGGAAAATATTATTATGGTCTCATTAAAAATCTCATCTAATCTTAGTAGAAGGAAAAGAGTAGATATAATAATACCAATTCAACATAAAACAACTAAGAAACAAGAGAGACTAGCTCAGACCAACCCCAAAGCAGAGGAAGCTAGACCCACTAATGAGTTTCGACAGTTTCATCTTGAAGCAAAGGAAGTAACGCAGCAGGAAGGATAGGAACCAGTCTATTAACCCTAGCATTCTTGGCTAAAGCATCGGCGACCTTATTTCCATCCCGACGAACTTGTGTTAATAGTCTATTGGCGTTGACGGGAATTCAAGAAGCACTCTTTAATTAAAAGAAACAAAAGCAAAATTTTGAGGGGCCAAAAATGAAAAAAGTTTAAGAGCTAAAACTATTTGTTTTGAAAATTTAGAGGGAATTTTTTTTATTAGTTATTGTAATTTTTAGATATAAGTAAAGATTAAATTTCTAGAGATCAAAATAGAGGGACTAAATGTGAAAAGTATGGAAAATATAGGGATGTGATAGGAAAATTGGATGAATGATTTGGGCGGGCTTGCTTACGGTAATTTTGAGGTGAAACTTTGGGCATTAATCAGGGGAGTGGACGCACGTTGCACCCTTCACTAAATTACTCTCTTCCATGCAATTAAATTCCCTTTCTTTTTTTTGAGTATTTTTATTTTTTAGACATATTAAGTTCAAGTTGCAAGCCTCGAATCCAAATCACTTTAAAAACACAATAATTTGAATTTAAAAGGACCCAATTTGAAATTTATTTGATCTAAAATAACAATAAAAAATTAGGATATAGTACGTCAAAGTTCATTCAACTATGTTCAAATGATTGTTTTGATTATTAAATTTTTAAAAATTATAAAATGATCATAAAATTTATCAAATTATTACAAAATGGTCATTGTGGTGTTATAATAAGTGTAAAGATTTGATAAATTTAATAACCATTTTATAACTTTCGAAAGCTCGATGATCAAAATAATTCTTTAAACATAATTTTATGACTTCTGAAATATTTTATCTCAAATTATGTCGTTCCAGATTACATATCCATTTACATATTGTTGTCATTCCGGGAGGGTTTTACCTCAAATCTACTCGGGAAACCCAATAATGAATAATTTGTACGATATAAAAGATCCACATATTGAGTTGTGTAGTAAACGTTTTAGACTTGTAATAATTTAAGTTTAATTCCTACATTTCTTATTGTTTAAACCACTACCCCACCTACTATACATCAACACATATCCCCCATCTAACTCACCCAAGAAAATACCAACTTGGATGATATGAGTTACAATCCCATCTAACACATATCCCCTCTATTTCTTCTTGCCGGAGCTTAAAACATGAATTATAAAAAAACTAGGGTTGTAAACCAGTCGAGTCGAATTCAAGTATTAATGAACTCGACTCGACTCGAAAACTTTAAAATGTAGTTCAACTTGGTTTGAAAGTTTGCGAGTCTAAAATTTTAAAGTCTAACTCGAACTCGAAACTATGAATTGGAGTTAAAAAAAAGTTTGAAAAAGCTTGAAATAAAAAAAATTCTTAAACTTAACTCGATTGATACATGAACTCGAACCTGAACCTTAAGTGCATGAAAACCTTATACTATATTTTTTTTAAAAAATCAACATATAAATGTTAATATTATTAATAATTTAATTTTTTTTTAAAAATAAAATTTTAATATATTATAGCTCGTTTCGGCTCGTTAAAAACTCGAGTCAAGTTCGAGTTCGATTCGAGTATTTATTGAACTTTAATCAAGTCAAACTTAAATAGTTCATGATTTGTCTCGTCTCATTTATAGCTATAAAACTTTTGTAACTCCAACTATTGAAACAAATCAAGAGAAAGCACATCATAAAAACCCTCAAATCCATTTTTAACTTTAGGATGAGAATGTAAATAAAGAAGAAGATAGAGTGCACTTGAGAATTTAGAAAAAAGTGAAACGAGAAAAACGTATTTAATTTTCACAACTTCCAACCCAACTTTCATATTCTTTACTTTCTCACCTCTGGTTCTTCACCCACAAGCCTGTGAATAAAAAATTCAAGGTAAAAAAAGAAAAGAAAAGAAAAGAAACCAGCTTGTTGTAAATGGAATCATCACTTGCCTTATCTTTGTAGACCAACAAAAGATAAAAGAACCAAACTCAGATTTCAGCTCTAACCTACTTCGACAATGGCCACTTCCTTCTTTTCCAGCTATATCACAGCCCTGACTTGTCTTGTTTTCTTCTTCAAAATCTTGACTGCAGAGCAAAGTTCCTCTTTTTCTTTCAAAAGTTTTGGCAAATATCCAAAATTTGAGGCCAATATTGCTTTATATGGGGATGCACATGTTGGTAATGATGGCTCTTGGATTCAGCTTACAGACTCGGTGAGTTGGAGTGCTGGGGCAGCCATGTACAAGAAACCCATCAAGCTTATTGGAGGTAAAGTCAGGAAATTCGCTTCTTTTTCAACTTACTTTTCCTTCTCAATGTCTCATGGAAATGGTGATGGTTTGGCTTTTATTCTGGTTCCTAGTACTTTTAAAGTTGATGTATTGGGGAATAGTTCGTTTGGGGTTTCTCTTGGATTGGAGAAAAGCAAAAGTGGTATTGTTGCTGTGGAATTTGATACTTTCAGAGATGCCAAGCATGGTGATTTGAATGAAAACCACGTGGGCATTGATGTGGGTAGCCTTGCATCAGTTAAAGCCATTAATTTATCATCTCTCAATTTGGTGCTAAACAATGGAGGGAAATTACATTGTTGGATTGATTATGGGGCAACTTCAAAGAGACTAGAGATTAGGTTGAATCAATCTAGTAGTTCCAGGCCAGCTGATCCGTTGCTTTCGTATTCGATTGACTTGTCGAAGCTATGGAATAATGAAGAAGTGTTTGTGGGCTTAAGTTCTTCAAATGGCAAATCTTCACAGACATGCTTTATTCACTTGTGGAGTTTTAAGCTAAGGCAGGTTCCCAATTGGATGCATTCCCAACCACTTGATCCCGTGGCTATTGCAGAGAACCCCAAACCTTTGACGGCAGCGCCGAAGAACAACAAATGTTTTTGGAAAGTACTCGTCGTGTTCATATTTGGCGGTGCTTGCGGTGCCTTGACATCTTCGTTCGTGCTGTCCTACAGAACGTCTTCGGTGATAGGCGCCCTGTTGTGCCTGAAGACTGTGTTGCTGTTCCTGTGGATTCCGAATTCAAGAAGGTCAAACTAGTAGTAGTAGTTGACGATGCTGTCAAAGATGGCAAGAACTAAATTTCTTATTGATTGTTATGTTGTAAATTGATGATCTTTTGTAATTGTAGTTGCAGGTTTTGTGTTTGCTTGCATTAACCTTATGACTCTTAAAAGCGTAATTCATGTGCAAGTTCTTCACTGAATTACCTGATTATTTTCTTCATTTTCCCATGTTTCTATGCTTAAGATCTGTGGTTGGCATACACTTGGATAACATAAGATCTTTGCAGAAAGAAATCTGTAACCTTGACCTTATTCAAGCAAAGATGAATTGATTAAATGGGTCTGTGAAGCCGCTAATCCTTAACAATGGATCAATTTGAGCACATTTTATGATAAGAATAGAAAAAGAATTATCACTATATTTAACATTCGTATTGACACACAAGCTTTACAGATTAATTCTTCATGGAATTTGTAATTTCTTAGCATTGTTTTCTATTACATGATAAAAAACTTAACTTGGTTCAATTCTTTTCTTCCTCGAATCCACAACACAAAATAGGTTTAATTATTGTTTGGGACATCCAAGTATCCCTAATGAACCTCCTATGTGCTTAATTTATTCTGTTCTTGGCATATCAGCTACAACTATCTTGTTCATGGCATCCAACTTCTGTTCCAAAGGCGTAAAATTGCACAAAATCATCAATCAAGAACACCATTCACAGTGAGTATTCTTGAGAGCAAAATTCAGCTGACAAGGAAATCTCAAACAAGTGAGCCAAATATTGTAAATTATAAACATTGCTCAAATCTCTTCAAATCCAGCATAAAGTACATTACATTCTGTTTAAACGACTAGAGTTCACAATCATGTTCATGTTCAAGTTCAAGAGAGAGAGAGCTCTCCCATGGTGGATGGAAGGAGTCCAGTTTATCTCTTCAAACTCCATACCCAATCAGCTCCCTAAGCTAACAAAAACTAACTCGCAACCACATTGTCCACTCTAAAACATAGATCAATCTTATGAATGATAAAAAAAATTCAAGATTGATGTAACTGTAAGCAAAAAGAAGATAAAAATCATATGAAAACCACAGGAGTAAACTAATCAATCTTAAGCCATCTAAATAAGATAAAATACGTCAATTGTTGAGTGTCAATCTTCTAAGAAAAATGAAAACTTGACATTAATGAAAAGAGACAAGCAATGGACATGTTACAAAAACAGTAGGACCGGATCTCAGTATAGAAAATTATCTTCAATCCCTTTCGAAGGAAAGTTAAGATAGATAACGCAGTTTGTAAAGTAACATCATGGATGCAATGAAAGCATCTCGCAAATTCATTCTACATCGATTAACAACTAAAGGGGTTCAATTTTTTAATCAATTGATTCAGCAAGAAGGAGAAATAAAAGTTAAAATGGATCTCAGTATGAGATTAGTATTATCTTCAGTTCCTTTGAAAAGGACGATCAGATAGATAACGCAGTATAAAATTAACATCTTTGAACCCAAAAAAAAAACAGAATTTGAAAGAGTCGAAAACGAAGCATCTCAGATATAAAACGCCCACTTTGTTTCTTCACTGACAATCAAAGTGCAAGGATAACAATTTAATCATCTCATCATTGATGCCCTTTTTTCCCATATATGAAAAACAAGAGAGTTTCAAAGATAAAAAACACATATCAATCATCTGAATATGAATATTCAGATTGTTTTAGAGAGAGACAAAATGGAACCTTGAAACATCGGCTGCCCTAGCTACACCGAATCCGAGAGAGTCGGTGTTCGCTGCCGCTTATATAGAGCCAAACCCTAGGATTTTTCAGAAAAGCCTATAAATTTATGGGTTTTGTCCCCCATGTTTGAAATGTTATAGACCTGAATAAGTCCATGGTTTTTGGGTCTAAAACTTAATATTGTAGAGATATACCATGAAACCAATGTTTGAGGCCCAGTATGCAATAAATTTTTTACTAGGAGAGAAGTTAAGCGAACGATATGATTCAGTTTAAATTAATTAGAATATATTTTTGAAAAATCAAAAGAACAAAAAAAAAGTTTAAGAAATAATATTCTAATAGTATAAAATGATTATAATATAATATTTATTTAGAATATTTTTTAACTATTGATAATACATACACCCATCAAATATAGTTGTTTGAACTAGAATCCTCTTAAAAGAAAAATATTCTCTATCACTAGTGAGGCAACTCAATAGGTAAAAATTATAACTTATTTGAATTAATAAATTATAATTCTAATATCTTATCTATTATTATGAGGCGATTATAAGATCACTCTCAACCATTTGATAATTAACACTCAAATACCCCTACAAACTGAGTACTCAAACCCGAACCTCTAAAAATAACAATCAACCTTCTAACCTTTAGGGATAATTTTAATATTTTTGAATCAAAATGTTTAGCATTTTCCAAATTATAGAGATTAATATGTCCCTCTTTATAATAAAGGGATTGAAATGAACTTTTAATATATGTACAGGGACTTGAAATAAACTCTAACCAACAGGAGACCAGGGGCTCATTCTTCAGTGACACAGAGGTCTTGGATAAATGAAGTCCGCCAAGTCATCCCCAAATTGGAGCCACAAAACCCAGGAACATAGCTTTGCTCCTACCCCAAGTAATGGCATTACGACAAAATAAACACTCGGTTGAACAGTCTTGAATTAAGATTTAAGAGGGCAAATACAACACTTTCTTCTCTTATTTATGATTATAAAAGATTCCTCCTTGAATCCTTCAGTTCAAGCTTAATTCTTTTTCCAAATCCAACTTGTTTTTCTCCAACATGGGTCTGATTTTCGGCAAGATCACGGTGGAAACCCCAAAATACGAAGTGGTTCAATCCTCAGCCGAGTACGAAATCCGAAAATACCCACCTTCAGTTGCAGCACAAGTCATATACGATCCATCACAGTTCAAGGGGAACAGAGACGGCGGCTTTACCCTGTTGGCGAATTACATCGGCGCTTTAGTCAATCCCCAGAATTCGAAACCGGAAACGACTGCAATGACGGCGCCAGTGATAACCAAAACGTCCAACAGTGAAAAGATTGCCATGACTGCCCCTGTGGTAACAAAGGGTGATGAAAAAACACGGTCACCATGCAGTTCTGTTGCCGTCTATGTACAAGAGTGCGGAGGAGGCACCTAAGCCGTTGGATGAAAGGTAAGTGATAAAGGAGGAAGGGGAGAGGAATTACGGGTTGGTGAAGTTCGCCGGAGTGGCGACGGATAAGGTGGTGGAAGAGAAGGTGGAGAATCTGAAGAAGAGCTTGGAGAGAGATGGATATAAGGTGACAGGTCAACACTTGTTGGCTAGGTATAATCCTCCGTGGACAATACCAGCTTTTAGGACTAATGAAGTCATGTTACCAGTCGAGTGAATGTTTGTTTACCTGTTCTTTTTCTTCCAATTATCACCATATGTTTGTGTATCAGACACTTGGAATGAAATTTCATTGCTTAAGCTACAAAAATGGTGTTACCAGCACATGAGTTTTCTCTTATTCCACCATTTCTGAGTACTGTACATACATGACAAGTGGCTTAACCAGAGAATAACTTGATCAGAATAGTGATGATATTGAACAGGATAAGTGGCAGTCTGAGGAATTGGCAGGCATGTATGAGCCCAATTATCTGCCCCTTGACCGTATTTCTTCTTCCTCCTTGAAATTCTGCCAAAGTCCATCTTCGTGGACGCAGGATCCTATCTTCATTCAGAATTGCTAATGCATTGGCAAAGAGCAGGAAACCTTCAAGCAATGTCCAGAACCCCATTTTTCTGCACAAAATCATGGTTTCAGCTCTCACAATTGGCCTTTTCTTAATCTATAAATATAACAAAATCCCATAGCAAAAGTAATTTCATTTATCAAGTACAGCAAAAGGTTCAATCTTTTATTAGCTCTGATGAACAAGCAAACATGAATTTACAATTAGACAACAAAAGATCTAATCGGTTATGATTGGGGTTCAAATGAAACATATTTCGGCAAGATAAAAATCTCAAATTTCTCTCTGAAATCAGCTGTCGATGAGAAGTTGAGATTTGAGAACACAAACATAGTATTTCCTTGGGAACAGAGAAAGCAAAAGATAATAAATTTCTGACCTGTGACGAGAAGCAACCCTGGAAGAATGATTTTTGAACTGGAAAACCGTACAGTGTTTCGTAAGATTAGAGACAAGTTTTATGAGTTGGAAGCAGAGATCAAAGATGAATATGCAGCCAAACCCTATTTTGAAGAATCGAACCAACAAGAAGAAAATTGCAAAACAAGCAGACAACAGCCGGTCGTAGCTTGTTGGGCCACGTATGATTCAGGGAAGCTTTTGATCTAACCGATGACATCGTCCTTGCTTTGCTTACATATTCCTCGAGTTGATGGGCGTTGAATTTGTCCTTTCCTTCATACATGACCCCAGAACTAAGGCCCATGAAATTTATCAGAAAGCCCAAAGAACAAGCCAGAAAGGGAAACCGTAAACCAGTCTTAAACGAATGAAGAAGTGTTTATTTGCTTATATGTGAAAGCATAATAATTTTATTAATGTTCATTTATTTTTTTAATATCGTTCAGTGTTTTTTGTCTTTAAAGACTTTTGTACTCGATTCGTTTAATATTTACGATATGTTGGTTTATATTTTTTAAAATATTCAAAAGAATAATAAAATAATACCATTAATCCCTAAATTCTTTAAGTTTCACAATTTGATCTCTAAAGTTCAATATCAGCAACATGCCTTCAATATTTTAAATGTAAAAAAAAGGATAAACAAGCTTTTAAATTTAGTTGCAAAAACGTGTCTACGTATGCCTCAGAAACCAAGCATCGATGAGCATAGAGAAAATCGTCTTTTGAGAGGTGGACGCAGCTCACAACCAAAAATCCTCGTGGGTATGCGTTTTGGGCGCTCTTTTGCAAAGGTGCAAGGCGCACGCTTTTACAGCTGGGGGGGGGGGGGGGGGGTTTGATTTCTGGCACTTCGGGAATTTTTGTGATGGACTAAATTAGAAAACTAAAAGAAAGAGGAATAACAAAGACTAGAGAAGAATAATAGAGATTAAAAAAAAAGCAACATACTAACAATCAGTTGATCCAGGGACGAGATATTAGATTTTTTAAATAAGGTTAAGAGTTCGTACCTTGACATTTACGAATAGAGCAAATTATGTTGGGAAGGTCTCCCTCGCCTCTATAGTATTCGATCTGAATTAGCCGATCAATAAATCAGATATAAGTGATTAATTAAAAAAAACAACAATAAAAGAAAGCCTAAACGACAAAGAAGTTAAAAATTTTCATTCATCCACATTTTTCTCATTTTTATAATCCTAAAAAAAATGTTTTATAACTTATGAAGACCAAACCTAAAAGCCCAACTATAATATTAAAAACTCATTACAAGTTTTTTTTGTCTTGCCAATTCTAAGGCTTCAACGTGATTAATATGGACCGACCCACATCGTACATATAGTTTTAATGGGTAAGTCTCACAGTAGATATTTTTTATATACACAAAGACTCATTGAGACTTTGTTTAAACAATATCAAACTATTTACCACTTGAATAAATCCTTGTTGGCAACTCGTTACAAATTTTAATTAAAAAAAACTTACTATTATTTATTTTAATTAAATTTAAACAACTATGTTTTAGTGAAACAAATTATCTACTGATCTAACATTTTCAATCCTTCCTATAATGTTTTGGATAATGAAATAAACCCTAACAAAGGGTTTGCAAATTTTTTAAAACAAAATGTAAAGTTCTTAAAAAATTATTATTCAATGAAGTAAAGACACATGATAGAGTTTTTAACTTTAGTTATAATAAGAGATATACATATTTACATCGATGTAAATATGTATTTATTCGTATGTACTAAATTTATATAAAAATAAATTTAAAAATAGATAATGAAAGATGAACACGGCCACGTCGATGTAATTATATATATATATATATATATAAAGTACTAGATAAAAATGCATATAATTTATGCATTTATTTTATATTAAAATTGTTTTATTATATTTAAGGTGAAATCTTTCATATATCATCCTATTAATAAATTTAAATTAATATATTATAGATTTTATAATATGCTATTTAAAAAAACATTCTATATTTTTAAAATTAAAATTTTAACAACAATTTTAAATACTTTAATTTTAAGTAAGATTTTTAAAAATTATATTTTTACAATAAATTTCAAGAACACTTTAAAAAAAACACAAACACACAATAATAAAGAGCACTAGCACAAGTGGTTCTCACGGAGCTTGTTCTGTGCCGTTTTTGGAGTGAAGTAGTAGAGAAAAATCCAGCACGAGGCCGTTGTTGTTGTTGTTGTAAAAATGAACAAATAAGAGAAGATATAATTTGCAGGCCTGTGCTGGAAATTAAGTGTTTGGGCTTTTGTTTTCATTTTGCCAACGTCCTCCCCTTCCCTTCCGTAAATCCAACATCTCTCTGCCGGCGAAGTAACACGTGGCTGCAACTGTTGGCAAGGATGAAGAGGACGATGTATGGGGAAAACCCAGAAAAGCAGCTGATGATTTGTACGAGATTAGGGACACTTTTCCCCCTCAAAACCCAGATGATAAAACCTCTAAACTGCAACACGAATTCGATCTCGCTCTCAAGCTCCTCTATTCCATTCCTGCTGGTATTTTCTCAAGTCCTACCCTGTTTATTCTTTGATTTGTTTTATTCTCGTGGATTAAGTAAATTTGCGTTTGAAATTTCTTGTAATTTCCTCTCTTTTTTGGGTTGCAAGCAAATAGATCGGGTTCTACATTTTATGTATGCAATCAAATTTACTGCTGTATTAATTTGTTGTTCCCATCCTCTTTGCCTTGAAAGGAAGAATGCTAAGCCGAAGCTTGTTTGAGAATACTGTGATAACTGGAATACCTATCACTAGACGTTTATGCATATATTTTGGTCTAAAAGTCTGAATTTGGTCCTTCTACTGATTCTAAACTATTTTAATTTGAGGTTTTTGTTGATGTTTGTGCTCCAATGTTAATGAATTGAATACTTCTGCTTCTATAATATTTTTTTTTCATTATATAAATTAAAGAAAAATAAGTGAAATGCTGTTGTTTTGATGCTACGCCATCACCAGAATGCTGCATTTTCCAAATTAACAGTAAGGTTTTAACTTGGGTTCTCAATTGTAGTGTGTGGATTCAATTCATTAATATTAAGGTAGAGACTAAAGAGTCTAAATTGTTGAATTAAAATAGTGAAGGGACAAAATTCGGACTTCCACCTTCATATTTCTTTTAGATGGGTGTTCCTATATTTTTTTTGTTATTTTGGTACTTGGTATAACCCATTGATGTGCAGTGACACCATGTAATTAAACAAAAAGAAATGGGACCGGAAATTTTCATATTTTTTTAACCTGTATGCTTATACCAATCTTTTTTGCCCGTTAAACAATTATCTTAATATTTTTTACTACAGAACAAAGAAAATTGCCTGTACACCGCGCAACATACGAGTATTTAAGAGGGAAGATATTAGATGTTGTACCTGACTATAGGAAAGAAGCAGAGGATCATCTCTCGAAAGCAGTAAGTGGGAACAGAGAGTTGTCTTGCTTTTATGGTTTGCCATAATGCTTGGACTCTGAATAATGCTTGGACTCTAAGTAAGGCTCATGCTTTTTATCTAATATTTTTCTTCTCCAGGTTAAACTGAATCCATCTCTTGGAGATGCTTGGCTCTGTTTGGGTAACTGCATTTGGAAGAAGGGAGATTTAACTTCAGCAAAGAACTGCTTTAATCTTGCACTAAGCAAGGTTATCTCCCACATTAGAGTTTTGACTTTTAAGTGTGCGTTGTTAGTTGTTATGCCTTCTTTATAGTTCATGACAATTAGTTGTACATATTGTTTTTGTATCATACAGGGTCTGAATAAGAAGATTCTGTGCCAATTATCAATGCTGGAAAGAAGAATGGCTCAAGGCAAAGCATTTATTTCTTTTTGCTTAACTTACTTTTGGTTATTCTGTTGTGCATGGTTTTTGGTTTCTTAAGGAGTCCAACTAATCTGTTCTTCGACTTAAAATTACCAGCCTTTTGGGATTAGTAGTAGTCAATTGGTCATTTTTAAGTGTTGTTGGAATGCTTAGTTAGGTGGACCCAACTTGTTTCAGCTGATGAACAAATTGAACGTGCTTGATATTCGTATAAGCCATTGGGTTTCTTGATCTTCTGTATGGTTTCATTGCTTTTGATTCTTGATCCGTGTCTAGAAGACATTTCTTCCTTAAAGCAGGGTAACCTGCTGCTGCTGCATTAAGCAATTTCTAATGGATCCTTGCTTTACTACCAAATCAATAAAATGTTAGATTTCAGCGAAGGCAGTCGTTATTATACTTTGACTTTTGGGCAGCCACATTTGGTTTTTGTCAGTGGCAATTTAGAAACAATACAACTATCGAATAGCCAATTTGTTGATGCTTTTAGGTCCTGATATTTCCTCATCCAAACAAACTGATAAGGTTTTGAAAAGCTACGGCTTAGGTAGTTGAGCATCAGAAAACTGCCTCGAGTTTTTCCCCCTCATGCAAAGCAAATTAATAAATGACTTGGAAAACTGTATTATCATCTGTCAAGCATTATGGTTGCTCTTTTTTGGGGCTTGTTCCTGTCTTGATCATGAGCCAAGGTGCTTCATTGTTTTTTACAAAGGTGTTCTGCCTTCTGTAGGTGCCGATAATCAGGCTGAAATGGTTGAGGAGAGCATTCAACATGTCAAGGAAGCTATAACTTTGGATGTCAAGGATGGTAATTCTTGGTGTAAGATTCTTCAAACCTGTATCATGCTTTAAACCTTACATATCCAACTTTCTTCAGCCTTCAAAATGAGTCAGAAACAGAGTATGTAGTAGGCCTGCTCTTTTAGTTAATTTTAAATTTTATTTAGGGATAATGTTCAAATGTACCTTTTCACTAGATTGGAACTCCAAAATTTACCTCTACTATTTTTTTGGGTGTAGTTTATGTTTATGTTTTTGTACATTTCCCATCACATAAGGATAAAAAATAATGTTGTGTCAAAGATTTTATTTTCTTATGCTATTATTTTTTAACATAAAAATAAAACATAGTTTATACATGTTTTCTAAACCCAACTACGATAATATGTAAAGTGCCAATGGGCATTATTTGGTTTGGAGTAGAAACATAATTGGATTCTACAACCTGAGAGGGTGGGTTCTTTTCCTAACTCATTAGGTGACCGGTTTAGTTTTTCCCAATACCAAATTCTGTAGTTGACTTCAGGCACATGTGTGCTTGACTGCAGTTGTTGCCTTTACACTTAATTCTTAACGGTGCAGCAGTGAACTCTGATTCCCAACGTGGAATAATTTCCTATGACAGATAATCTGGGAAATGCTTGCTTGACAAGTTTTTTTGTAACTGGAACTTGGGATCATAGCAAACTTCTTCAGTCTTTAAAAGCGTACCAAAATGCCGTAAGTTGGTGGCTTCAGAACTTCACTGCATTATTCAATTATTTAGGCTTATCATATGATTGCCAGTGTATCAACAACAATTTTTTTCTGTATTGGTTTGTATGTTGCTTCTTTTAATATTTGTGTAATTATGTTACAATGTAGTCATATTACTTTATGGGATGTGGTTTAATTATTGTTTGCTTGTGACAGGAGAAGGATGAAAGAATGAAGTCAAATCCAGACCTGTATTTTAATTGTGCAACAGTGAGTTTACTACTTAATCCACCTTTTACTCTGATCCCTTTGACTGGAAAGATGAATTTGAATTTCATTTGATATATAAATTATGAGAATGGACCGACTTCCCATGCACAAGTTAGTCAAGTTTCAATATTGATATCTGAAAGGCATGAAAAGATTAATTTTATATTCACAAGTACCTATATGTATTTGAAATTCACTAGTAAGCAGGCTTCTAGCAAATCCATAAACTTGAAAAAGATTCATGAAAGTTATATTTTAATGTGTTTTAACACTCAATTTGCATTAGTTCTCAGATTCAAATTGTTTCTTTCAAATCCGAGTAATCAAACATAACCTGAGAGAGTTTTGAATGACAAAGTTACTGGGAGCCTTTTAAATTATTTGTGCCTGATCTCTCTGAATTACTGGTCTCTGTTTATGAAAAATGACTATTACATTGGTATATTGCTCCCCTTTCAGTTTAAAAGATTGATGGGCTGAAAAACTTACTCTCTTGTCAGATTTTGAATAAACATGTCTGATAAAAGATCCACTTATCCATTTAATAGGATGTTCCGCTTGTCATTTCTGCTATGGATTTGATGAACTTTCTACTTTCAGGTAAACAGATATCTAGAGAATTATGATAGGGCTCTTGCTGGCTTTGAAGTTGCTGCCTTGAAGGATCCAAGTCTCAATGCTTCTCAGGAGGTTGAAAAGATGGTCAATCTTCTCGACAAACTGGAGAATTTGCTTAGGGTAATGTATTTCTGTTCTCTCTAAGAAGCCAATAGAATGGTTATGGATAAATGCCGAATCAGTTTTCTTATGCAATGGCCCTTATTCTGGTGATCCATTTTCAGCACTCTTCCTTTATGGAGAAATTACTCCCCACATTCAAACCAGCTTATGAAGATTTGTTTCTTTTTACATATAGTTTCTTGTCAGATCTCATTACTACTTAAAATGTATATTTTAAACAAGTTCCGGTTCCACTATAGACGCCAGCAGTGTGTATTACATTTACAATTCTAAAGGTGCTGAACCATGTTTTATAATATTTTGATATAACAAATTGAGGCAAAATGTTTTTGGACTTGATTGAATTTGTTCAAAGTTTTCAAAAATAATTCAAAGTCTATTAAACTAGAATTTGAGCATAAAATTGTTTTCTGGGTAAGTAGTATCAATATTGTTCTTACAGTATCGATATTATATGAACAATATTGATACTGTTCATGTAATACTGATACCAAAGGTAAGAAGTATCGATACTTTCTAGGTAGTATCGATACTAACAGTTGTTTTCCAAATTGCTCAAATTCCAAAATGCAAAATATGTATCGATATTCAAAGGGTATTTATACTATTTTATACAGTGGTATCGATACCATGAAGCATCATATCGATACCGATAAACCCCAACGGTTTTTAACGGGTAGTTTATTTAAAAATTATAAAGGTAGTACCGATACTCATTAAAAGAGTACCAATACTCCATATATTGGGTAGTATTATTTTGCAGAAAATTAATTTTCAACGGCTAGAAATGACCACAAACTCATTTCAACATATAAAAACAAGTTGTGGTCACTCGAAGAAGGTTGCAACACCTATCCAAGCAATTGAGATCTAGAGAAAAACTCTCTCATTTTTCCTTTTATCTTTTACATAAGTGTTTTTGAGCTAATTGTAAATCTTTCTATTGTTTTCTTGTGAGCTTAGTTTTTGTAAACACATACATTTGAGAGGTTTTTCTTGTTTACTTCTTTTAACATTGTAAAAAGAGAATGATTTTAGATTAGCTATTGAAAAACTAAGAGTTTTGTAAATGTTATCTTGAGCCTGGAAAAGGAAAAAACAAATTATTGAATTTATTAGAAAATCTTTAATGTGAAGCTAAAGTAGTGGATCTAGACTTGGTTTAGAAGTCGAACCACTATAAATCATTGTGCAAATTTTCCTATCCTTTCTCTTTTATACCCAAATTTTTTTCAATTGATCAATTCATCCCCTCTTGACAATTATTTGGTCGTCAATTTAAGCTTCATACAATCCTAATAAAATGTCATTTGAATTCACATTGAAATATGAAAAAAGGACGAGGTAGAAATATTAATTCATAAATGTTCTTGTGTCCATCAGTATTCAATTAATCTTAAGCATTAATGTGAATCTGAGAAAATTTTATGAAATACATGCTTACATTAATTATAGATAAATATGTATATATTTAATGTGTGAAAGAAAATATAGTTGGATTAAATTTACTTTTGATATATTTCTTGGGTATAAGGTGCAATGCTATACTTATTTCCTTCCCTTTTTCATTTTTAGAACCTGCTGCCTAAACGTCATTTTTCAAAGGTTTAAATATGCTAGGGGTCCATGTATTATTTCAAAATTTAAAATGTAATCCCTATACTTTATTTTTGTAAAATTGAGTCCTTATACTATTTTTCTATTTGTAAATTATAGTTTCTGTGATTTGGCTATAACATCATGAGAGAATACTTGCTTTTCCTTACTGGTATCGATTAACATTCTGTGATGGTTGTGTAATATCATTTTCCACTGAAAATTTGATAGATAGGCTTATACAGGGACATTCCAAGGCAAAAAGACTTGCTTCATCATCAATTGGTCCTTTTAATTGTAAGCGATCTGATCTTTCTACTGTGTTTTAGTCGTTGGTTCGTATTATTCCAAGTGAGCTGCTTATAAAAATTATGATCAATTTGGGAATGCACTGAGTACCTTTTATCTGCATCTTCTTGTGTTAGTGAACTCGTATAAAAAGGCCACTGTAGATGTGCTATCAGAAGGTTAGAATAAAGCAGTTGCTGTTAAGGGAACTATTTTTATCTCAGGGTCATGTTGAGAGAGTTTTCATTCCAAAAGAAACAAGAAATCCAAAACACAAATTCTCCACCTTTGCTTTTGTGCAGTTTGGGAGTGAAGCAGGTTTGAGAAGGGCAATAGTTAATTTAAATGGTTCATTAATAGATGAGAGGAGGATTATAGTTGGAGTTGCAAGATACAATGATGTTCGTTCAAGGATAGTGGTGAAGAATAGTCCTTTGAAGCCGGTTCCAATCTGAGTACAGCAGAAACTTCAAAGTCTAAAGAAGTAGATGATTCCAGCAGGAGTTTAAGGGATGATAGAACGTATAAAGATGCTTTATTGACAAACAGAATGAGGAGTAGTGCATTGGGATATAGGGAGTTATCCTCTGATGGGATTCACAGGGAGAAAATTAAGGAAAACATTTTGGAAATGTGTATTCCTTCTGAGAGCTCGAGTGGTTAAAAGGTCATTAACGGGGATCATTAAGCATTCTTTTGTGTTAGAGTTGGTTCAGAAGACTTTACTTAATGAAGGTTATGAAATCCTGGTTGTTAGTTGGAGTTACGTCTGGAACTCTTGTGCAGTTATTTTCAAAACTTATGAAGAGATGATGGAGGCATGGATGAAAAAGAAAGATGAAATAGGATTCTGGTTTGATAGATTGGCTCCTTTACTGAATGAAGATGAAGTTCCAATGGCTTTTTGCCAAGTTGAGCTATTTGGGGTGCCTCTCTTATGCTGGAATGACTCCTTTTTAGAACGAATAGCAGGGAGATGGGGGGCGATGGTAGACATCCATGATACCATTAAAAACAGGGAAGACCTTACGACTGCGAGAATTTTAATTAGGGTATATAGTCCTTTTGATGTCCCAAAGGTCATTACTCTTGGATATTATGGTATATCTTACAAAGTGAGAATCAAAATTGGATCGGTGCATGAATCTTCAAAACCTTTTTTCACAAAATCTCCAGTGGGCGGAGCAGTTGGGGAATATTTTGGTGAGTTGATGTTTGAGGAAGTAGAAGATAGGGAGGAGTCAGAAAATGAGGAAGGTTCAATAAAATCAACAGAAAAGTTTTGTCAAAGGGTCGACACGAGAATTGACCAAGCTTACAGTCTAGTAGAAGTTGGTGGGGAAAAACGGTTTCCAAGACTTACCAAATATGGGAAGGGTATTAAAAGCGGTTGTCAGATTTTCAGAAGGTTGGGAGTATCAAAGTGGGGGAGTTTGCAGGATTGGGAATTAGAATTTCAAATTTTTCAGCTGATGGGCCTTAGGCCATTCCAGAAGATAATGAGCAGTATGGGTTGAAAGTTTCAAAGGTAATTCCTACTGGGCCAACTTTTACAATAAATAAGTTTGGGAAAATGGTTCAGAATATGAAACCGGTTGAGACTGACAGTAAAGAGAAACAAAACAAAAGGGTTGAGCTCCAATTCAGAATCGACTGATTGTGTTGGAATTGAGGCTCAAAATACTGATTTAATGTTGATAGTTCCTAATTCAGACTTTACACAGAGTAATTCAAGGGATAGATCGTTTTATCGGTCTAGAAGCTTGTTCTCTACAAAGAGTGAGCCTTTAGAGAGAAAGAGTATGGGCAGTTATAAAAGGGTTTATAAAAGGTCTAGAGAGACAATTTATTGGTTTGGGAATGAACAAAATATTATACCTGTTAGAGAGGATGATTTAGACATTCAGAAGGTTAATGATCAGACCTTGAGACCAGCTCAACAAGTTAGTTTGACAGCAGATTCGAACATCCAAGACTGTGAGGAACCTACCACAGATAGAAAATCAGGTGTTAGAAGCTTGGATAGGGAGCTTGAAGGTTGGTTTTCAGAAGAACATTGGTCTAATTTCAATTATGGTTTTTTTAAATAGAATAGCAAAAAGACTATTGTTAAGGGAAGTTTTAGAACAAGACAATATTTCAATAGCTTCCTTTTTAGTTTTTTAAAATCTTTGGAGGAAACTTTAGCTACTTGGCAAATAAGCCAGATAATGGGGGTTTCTTTTAAGCAGAGGAAGTCAACCTTTCTGGAAAAAAATAATTAACTTAGAGAAAGGCTTGAATATGGCCAATTAAGGAGTCTTATGGGGGCATTCAGATTATTGAATAATTAATGATAAAGAAAAAATTATTCATAATTTCATGGAATGTTAGGGGTTTGGGAAAAAAAGAGAACAGAGAGTTGTTCAGAGATTAGTCTCTAAGATATATCCTTCTTTTCTTTGGTTGCAATAAACTAAATCCGAGAAGATACAGAGGTCTTTTTTAAGAAGAAGTGGGTTGAATATTCTTCAAGGTTTTATCGAATCTCCAACGGTTGGATCTTCATGAGGTTATTGTGCTGCTGGGATGATAATGTGTTTGAGCTAAAAAATAGTTGTATTAATAGAAGATATATTGTTGTTTCCGAAAAATTTCGTTCTAATCAATTTAGATGTGTACTCATTAATGTTTCTGGTCCTTCAGTGGAGGATGAGAAAGCAAGTTTTTTCGAAGATCTTAGCTTGTTCATTTCCGGATAGTCTTCCTGTTTGTGTGGGAGGGGATTTCAATGTTTACTTGTATGAGGATAAGAAGGCTGGTAGAGCTTAGATCTGAAATTTAATGGAGATTTTCAGTCAGTTTATTCAACATTCAGGCTTAATTGATCTACCTTTGAATGGGGGTAGGTTCACTTGGTGTAACAGCCAAGATATTCCCACATTTGTTATACTTGATAGGTTCTTAATGGATGGTCAATTCCTGGTTGTTTTTCTTGATATTGTTCAATCATTACTTCCAAGGTCTGTGTCAGATCATAATGCTATAATGTTTGAGAATGAAGGAGTCAATTGGGGTAAAAAAGCCTTTTAGACTTTAATTATTTGATGGAGGAAGATGGTTTTGAGGAAGTGGTCAGTCTTACAATATCATATTGCAAGAATAAGGAGAGCTGAAATCTTGAGCATTCTGAAGCGTGTTCTAAATTAGCCATCAAAAGGTAGGTTGTGAAGAGAAATCAGTTTCCAGGAGCATCAATTACATAATTAGAAAAGAAAATTCACAAGCTAGAGAATGAGGTCCAACAGTTGCAAGATGTAAGAGACAATGAGATAGCAGCAGAGTTAAATATTTGTAGATCATAATTATGGAGACTTTACAGGATAGAGGAGCAGATTTGCCATCAGAATTCTAGAATGAAGTGGGTATATGATGGGGATCGTAACACTAGATTTTTTTCATACTTGTGCTTCAGTTAAAAGAAAGCTAAACGCTATGAATGCTCTAAAAGTTTAAGGAAATATTATCCAAGACCCAACTGTTATCAAGGCCACTGTTAGGGATCATTTTTAAAAAAAATATTTAATGTTCGGTCTACCTTGGAAGTAGATGATATAAGGTTGATTTTTCCTAGAATTTCTTTGGAGCAAAGTATTCTTTTTAGAAAAGGAATTTTCCGATGAAGAAGTTTGGGAGACATTAAAGTCGTGTGATAATAACAAAGCTCCGGGACCAGATAGATTAAATTTTGGTTTTTTCAAAGGGTTCTCGTCTGTCCTTAAGGAAGACATTCTAAAATTTTTCCACTTGCACTTGGGGAACTATTGGGAACATGGTATCAACCATACTTTCATTACCCTTATTCCTAAGGGCTCTAACATTAGTGGCTTAGATAACTATAGACCAACAAGCTTAGTAGGAGGGGTTTACAAGATCTTATCTAAGTGTCTTTCCAAGAGGTTAAGAAGTTGCATAAGTGACATCATCAGCCCGACTCAATTTGTTTTCATCTCTGGTCGTCAAATATTGGATTGTTCTCTCATTGCTAATGAGGGAATTAATTTTTGGAAGAATAAAGGGCTTAAGGGTTGTGTGTTCAAAGTTGATTTCAAGAAGGCTTATGATACAGTTGATTGCCTGTTTTGTTCAAGGTGATGGAGAAGATGGGCTTTGGATCCACATGGATTGGTTGGATTAAGAGATGTGTTACTACAACTTCTGTTTCAGTATTGGTCAATAGAGTTTCCTCTAAGGAATTCCCTATCGCAAAGGGTCTTCGACAGGGTTGTTCCATGTCTCCATTGATGTTCAATTTAGTAGGGGAACAACTCAATTTATTACTTCTTAGGGCAATTTTTGAGGGGTTATTTTTTGGAATGGTTATAGGCAGGGAGAAAGGGTCTTTTAATTTATCACGCTTGTAGTTTGCTGATAATCTTATAATCTTTTGTGGAGTTCAAAGATGCAGATTTTGAACGTGAAGAAGGTTCTTAGAGTGTTTAAAGTTATGTCGGGTCTTCAGCTTAATCTAAAGAAAAATAAACTGATTGGAATTAACATATCTCAAGAGGATGTTCAGGATTGGGCAGAATCTATTGGATGTGCAGTTGGATGTTTTCCTTCAAGTTACCTAGGACTTCCACTTGGTGCTAATAGGAATTCATCAGCTATTTGGGATCCGGTGGTTCAAAACTTCCACAAGAAATTAGCTGGTTGAAAGGCTTCTACTCTTTCATTAGCAGGGAGATTGGTATTGGTTAAGTCGGTCTTATGCTCACTTCCTACTTATTTTCTGTCGATGTTTAAGATTCCAGCCTCGGTCTATAAAACTCTCAATTCAATTATGTCTAACTTCTTATGGAATAGGGTAATGTTACAAACAAGATACATTGGGTTAATTGGAACAATGTGTGTAATTCAAAGAATGAGGGAGGTCTGGGTGTTCGAAATCTCAACAGCATGAATAGAGCACTATTAGGGAAATGGTCTTGGAGGTTTGCAAATGAAATAAGCTCTATTTGGAGGAAATTTATGTATAACAAATATAATATTAACTCATTCTTGTTATTGTTTAATAGAAAGGTTCCACCTCAAGCTTCTTGGATATG